ATCCAGACACCTCTTAAACACCTCCAGGGATGGTGACTCCACCACCTCCCTGGGCAGTATTCTAGTGCCTGAGCACCACAATAGGGAAAACATTTCTCCTCACATCCAATCTGACTCTCTCCTGTCTCAGCTCAAGGCCATTCCCTCTATCCTCTCCCTGCAGCCCTGGCAGGACACACATCCCACACCTCTCTCCAGCCCTGGCAGGGAGTTGCAGAGAGCCAGGAGGTCACCCCTGAGCCTCTTCTCCAGGCTGACCAAGCCCAACTCCCTCAGCCCTTGCCCATGTGCTCTAGCCCTTTGCTGCCCTCGTTGCCCTTGGCTGGACTTGCTCCAGTGCCTCAATGGCCTTTGGGCAGTGAGTGCCCAAAGCTGAGCACAGCACTGAGCTGGGACCTCCCCAGTGCCCAGTGCAGGGGGATGAGCACTGCCCTAGTGCTGCTGCCACACTCTGCTGGAGCCAGGACAAGATGCCATTGACCTTATCTTGCCTGCTAAATGTATCCCTCAAAACAATTTTACAGGTCAGATATTGCCAACCTGTTTCTGGAATACCATGTGTTATTTCCTCTAGCACCTCTTATTTAGCTACATCTTTCCATATACATTTTTTCTAAAGCCATGCTACTGACTTGTGATCATATTAATGGGAAGGAGGATAACAAATAAATAAATATCTCCACAAGGCTAAATTTGAGGGAAAAACAAACTATAGGTCACACATGAATATCTGTCCATATGTCATACACTGATGATGCGTGTTCAAATATGCATTGCCTCAGCTAAAGTCCAATGGAAATAATCTTTAAACAAACAGATTTTCTATAGGGTGAAGGAGCATTATAGAAATAGAAGCACTTTTAAAAAAGGTATTCCAGACCAACCATATTTAACAAAACAGACATTTAAATCTTCACTCTTGAGTAAAGAAAGGCTGTTCTTTTTTCACCAGTTAAACAAATCATGGATCTCCTTGAAGAGCAAAAGCTTTGTGATGCTGCTCAGCATCTGATTGTCCTGGAGAAGGGTCTGTCTATCAAAAGTGAGGAGGGACTGAACACCAGCCAGCAAGACATCGAGTCTGTCTACGAAGTTCTGAAGCACAAAGTCTTCAGCGTCTTGAAAGACTCTCTGCTGCTGGCAAAAACAAACCTGGACCTGCTGCAGCAGGCAGTGGAGGCTCTGAAAGAGCAGGAGAAAGAAGATCAGAACTACATGTCAGAGAATCCACCTGAGCAAAATATGCAATTTAGACCTAGAAAATGGAAAGAACTTTGGATGGCTACAGTGAAGGAGTCAGTAGAGGCTCGAATGAAAGACACAAGCCGTACTCCTAGAACTGAAAACCTCTCTGCAGTTGGCCAGAACCTCCTGCACATGGGAAAGACAATGAGAGAAGATTTGACAGTGGTTGTAAAGTACATTAAACAGCTTTATCCTCCAGAGTTTAATGTATTCACCATATATGCAGAACTCTACCACAATTATTTTGCCTCCGAGGCCAAGAAAAGTGCTGAGTCTCCTCTGGAAGATAAGGATATTTACCTTCTTCTCTCATGGGTGCACAACCTTTATCCAGAGTAAGTGAGGCTTTTACACATGTTTATCCCTGATGACCAACACAGATTCACTGGCTGCAAGGTCAGGCATTGGCTTGATTGCTGGATTGGTATCACTGCAATGCAGTCCAGTACCTGGCTGTGTCTGGTGTCACTGGTGGTGTGCTGATTTACACGAGCTGGCCAGGAGAGCCAGAAAGGACACTCTCAAGCTGCTAGTCTGTAAATGAAAGGCTGATCCCACCATTCTGGTTTCTGGGCACCAGATATCTAGGGCTTCACTTGTGGGGTAAATTGGGCAGGTTCATTGTCTTGATATCTATTCCAGTTGCAAACCTGAGCTCCCTGGAAAACTGGAGATTTCAGCTCTCTGGACCAGAGGGAAGACAATAAATAGAACGACCTGAGATGCAATTATCTTGGGCATGGAGGATGTTGTTTGGGTATTACCCATGGTCTATGCTGCTCTCCCAGTCAGGAGACCCAGGGGTGCACTCCTGTGAGAGGGCATCATCAGCCAAGGGTCGCTCTTCCTCCTCACAAACCCTGTATGTTACAGAACTGAAAATATTCCTTGTAGTGGCTTATAGTACTGGATGGGGAATTGAGGACACTCATTTCTTCATTGAAAACCAGCAATGTTTCTTCTACCCTAAATCATTCAACCTTCACCTCCACTTTTTCTTTGCTATGTTTCACTGATAGAATATAATGAGTTAGTGTTGATCCTGGAAGTTTTCCAGAGCCAGTGTTGAGCTCTAGGTCAGGGTATTCAAGCCTGAAGCAGCATGTGTTTGGGAACCAGTTGCTGTGAGGAGCAGGGCTCAGCCAGAGCAGAGCAGCCTGGCACTGGGCATGGTGCTGGCCAGGGCAGCTGCTGCTTTGCAGGGTGTTCCCAGAGGCCACAACCAGATGTCTGCTGAGGGACCACCTCTCTCCATGGCCAGCAGCAAAGGCAGCAGCAAGGAGGAGGAGGAGGATTGCACAACAGCCTGGCCACAGCTTCCAGTGTCATATCACAAACAGTTCATGGCAGTGAACCCATGGGAGCTGGGTGATGTGCAAACATGGGACTCAGGAGATGTTCAGGGTTATTCTTTTCAGCTCCACAAGGAGAAGCTGCTTCTAAATTACCCTCCCACAGGGACTCAGGAGATGTTCAGGGTTATTCTCTTCAGCTCCACAAGGAGAAACTGCTTCTAAATTAGCCTCCCACAAGTGCTGGCCTGAGCCCCCCAAGGCTGGCAGGTCTCTGCAGGGTATGAAACCACCTTCTCCACTCAGAACCAGCCATGAAACACCAGTTTTTCATCTGGTCACCTCTCTATATTGATGGAGACATGTTGTGTCCAGGGGCTAGATCTCCTGCTTACTTCAGATCCCCTGTTCCCACCACAGTGCAGGCTATGGCTCAGTTCCCAGGGTTGCTTGTGATCCCACTCCTGGCACATATTCAGCTCCTCCAAGTTCTGCCTGGACTAAGGACAGTGTACATTTCCATCTGTTTTTTCACTGATAGCCTTGAAAAGTGTTAGTGATTTGCATCAACAGCTGTCTTGAGTTACACTGCCCTTGGAAAATCTGGTTGTTTGGCTTTTTTCATTCCAGAGATATGAGAAAGGATCGTGCTTTAGCCGAGGAGCTGGATAAAGTTAAGCTTGGGAGCCTTTTGCCATCAAGTCTGAGCAAAGAGCTTGAACAGAGATACCTTGACAGTGAAGAGGTGAGACTCTGTTCAATCACTCCTCTTCCCCTTACTGGTCCCCTGTGACTCCTCAGAGAAGCTGTGACTTGTCCTGCACACACACACTTCACCTGTGAGCCACTTACCCTACACACCCTTCCAGAGAGAAGCAAAAGCTTTTGTTTGGTTTTGAGGGACAGCTCACCTTTTTGCAAGGTGGGACTTGCAGAGCAAACTTCTGCTTAGTACTGGGAGGAATCAGAAAGGATTTCTGTTCTTGTAAACCACGTGATAGAAACAGGGAAAATATACAACATGGGCAAGTTTCCAGTTGTCTGGTAAATCTCCAGAGGGATATATGATCCCTCTCACAGGAATTGCTGAAGGATCCCAAAATACTTCCGGTCTCTGCAGAGGTGTTAGACCTTGGGTGAGCACAAAGCATGGAGATCTGGTCTTGGAAAATCTGTTTCTTTGATGGAGAATTGCCTGGTCTGCAGAAAATCAAAGTTGCTCTGTTTTTTGTATCACTCTTGCCTTAATGGAAACAAGAAGTGATTTTTGCAGTACTCCCATAGCTTAGGGCTTCTGGCATTTGGGACTGGAATTCCTGGAAAATGAGAAGATAAGTTCCAAGGTTTAGATGTAGCTTGTGATGGTTTGCATATGGGAGAGCTGGTGTGAGGTCTGCAAAGCACACAAACAAGGCACTGGGAGATCAGCAGTACACCCCAGACACTGCACAGACCATTTCAAAAGCCTCACTGCAGTGTGCACACACAGGGCTCAGAGCAGAAAAAAACCTGAGAGTGTTTTGTTTCACTCTCCAGCACTTGTGAGGCATCAGAAGTGCTTATGAAGGAGGATTGCAAAACCAGGTGGTACTGAGTGTGACATGTGGGTGATGTGTGGTTGGGAGAATTCAGGTTTTGGCACATATAGCTGCCTGCAACATTCCTCTTCACTGTTCCCCTTCTTGCCCTCCCAATCCCCACTGATGTGCTGGGGTGACAGGCAGGGACAGAGATCTTGATCTTCATTCCTGCCCTGAAATGCTCAGCTCACTATTGCATAGGTGGATATTGTGAGCCAGTTGTCCTTGTTGCAGTGGGTCAGGCATCTCATAGCAAGGAGCCTTTATTTGCCAGCCAGGACTGTGGAAAAAGTCTGCTGAGCCAGGCAAAAGGTGGATGGGCAAGTAAAACCTGCATAAGGCTGGAGTTGCTGCATCCACATTGTAGTAAATGCTGTTGGTTTTCCTTCCTTAAAGGTTACTGTCAAAAAATCGCTGAGCAAATGTTTAGATAAAGAAATCCAAAGATGGAAAGAAGACAAAGAACCAGAGAAGCTAAATGGACATTTTCAGAGTGAACTACTAGGAATATTCGTTATCCAGGTAACACAGATCTATATTAAAAATCAACAATTGCATCCTGTACCTACTTAGGATTTGAGACCAACTATGGTCAGTGTGGGAAAGCAAAGGCCAAGTCACTTGTGTAGGGCAGGAGCAGAGCTGGGGGTACAGGGGAGCCCAGACCTGTCTGGCATGGTCCTGGTGTACTGTCTGCTGAGGGAAGGCTCCTCTGTAAGCAAAATGAGAAGGAAAGCTGCTCTCATTCTCCCTGTGCAGTCTCTTCTGCATCCCCAGCAGCAGAGAGAGAAGAGACAGGCTTAGCCACATGAGGAATCTGTTCCTTGCTCCTGGGGACACTGTCATGGGCAGAGCCACGTCTTCCCCACACTCACTGCTCTCCTTCCTCTGGCTGCAGAACATTACTTGAATTTTTTAAAATAGACTTTTCTTATGCTGAGGTTGTTGTAAGCAAAAGGAAGGGCAAGGAAAACCTTCGTTCCTTGTTGGACATGGGAGGGAATAGAGTGACCCAAGATGAGGAAAAGGCTGAGGTACTTAACACCTTTTTTTCCTCAGTTTTTAATACCAGGACAAGTTGTCCTCAGGACACTCACTGGGGCTGCAGGGAAAACAGTGCTACTCAAATGCAGCCTTTTTCACCCAAGGTGACCGCAGGGTCTTAATTGGATGTCATAGAATCATGGAATTTTAGGGATTGGAATGGACCTTAGGGATCATCCAGCCCCAACCCCTGCCCTGGGCAGGGACACCTCCCACCAGAGCAGGTTGCTCAAGGCTCAGCCAACCTGGCTGTGAACACTGCCAGGGTTGGGGCAGCCACAGCCTCCCTGGGCAACCTGGGACAGTGTCTCACCACCAGAACAGGGAAAACTTCTGCCTAACAGCTAACCTAAATTTCCCCTCCTTCAATTTGTGCCTATTGCCCCTTGTCTTGTCCCTGCAGCTCCTAACACAGATCCCTCTGCAGCTTCCCTGGAGCCCCTTCAGCTCCTGGAAGGTGCTCTGAGGTCTCCACACAACCTTCTCTTCTCCAGGCTCAACAGCCCCAACTCCCTCAGCCTGTCCTCACAGGGGAGGTGCTCCAACCCTATTATCAACTTGGTGGCCTCCTCTGGACTTGCTCCAACAGTTCCATGTCCTTTTTCTGTTGAGGGCCCCAGAACTGTGTGCAGGATTCTAGGTGAGGTCTCACCAGAGCAGAGCAGAGGGGGAGAATCACCTCCTCGTACGATGCAGGATCGCTGAGTGAGTTACCTCGGTTAAGGATCTACAGCCTCTTTGACCAGTGACCATGGCCATTTTGGAGCACTTCATATTGTGTGTTTCTTTGTTAGAGCATCTACAGTGGCCAGAAACGGGCCCAGAACATCAGCAGAGCCGTGGGAGAGGAGCTGTCACGCCGCCTGTGGAAGGAGCTCCCTGTCTTCCTGAGCAGGTGTGGTAAGGTCACTGTGGGCACCAGGGCAGCAGAGCCCCCTGGGCACACACTCATCCACCTCTCACCCCCCATCTCCCCTCCAGCTACAGGGAAGCCTTTGAAGACTTTAAGGAGAAAAGTAAGAAGCACAGACACTACAAGCCTATCCTGATTGCCAATATTAACAACTGCTGGAATTTTAGGTAAGTGCCCAAAAGAAAAGGTTTTGCTCCTTCCTCTGAAGGAGGTGCTCCAGAGTGAGTCCATCTGCCTGCAGAGGCAGGTTTGGAGACCTCTGAATTTCAGTCTCTCATTTGAGGACAGTCTATTCTTACCTGGCTGATTTTTGCTTCCAGAGAATACACAGAGAAACATGTGGCAGAAACGGATGACAACAGAGCGAGTATCCTCAGCACTCTTGGTGACATTGAAAACAGTGGCTTTGAGGTGCTGCTCCAACAGCTCTTTGCCCAGCTGAAGGTACATACCTGTGCCTCACACCCTCCTGCCCCATGGCCCAGATGGCTCAGATGTTCTCCTGCTGTGCTATCTGTTGCTCAGATCTCTGATTCAAATCAGCAAACGGTTCTGGGCAAGGGCACAGCACTGGTGCTAACCCACATTGCTGCCAGAAAACTTCCACTAGCATTTCCTTGAGCTGTTCCTCAAGCCTGCAGGCAAAATGGGCACAGTGAGATAGGCATGACTGTGCAGGAGAACATAAAACATGCTGAGACGTCAGACATCTGAGACAAATGCTGCAGGAGGAGAGTCTCAGCCTGCAGCTGTTTACTCTCCAAACTGTAGGAAGCCACCACAAATGGCATAAACTGCAATTACATAACTTTTGGCTTATTCATAAAGGTGACCTGAAGGGCACTTGTGCACTTTGGACACTTCAAATATATAGATATTTGTTGATGATTTGGATGAAGGTTGGACTTGATGATCTTGG